GAAACACGGCAGCGTCTCTGCAGCTGTCACAAATAAAGCACATAGACAGGAGAGAAGCTCCCAAAAATACAATCCAGTCCCGTCTGAGAAAGTTTAGTTGGTCCATATAATATTCAAATTCAACACAGGTGTTAAAAGAGCTCCAATTATGTGGATGGTGAGATCACTATCACCATGTAGTCTAAACAGGAAAGCTACTAAACTCAATTAAATACAGATTCACTCCATAATCGACGGCTGCTCTCATATTACGTGCATGTCGGAAATTCTTGTCAGTTTATGCATGAAAACGAATCCAAGAACTACTTGGATCACAACTTTGCCCATTTTTTTGGGAAACGACACAATGAGGATGAAATAGACACGTTGCTATAATAAATACAAAACCAATGCAAACTTAGTTCGCTATTCAGAACCAAAAGACAGTCCTGCTACAGAACAATCCAGAAATCAATCTTAGAAAAAGACAGAGAGAGAGAGAGAGAGAGAAACTCTCTCTGTATAAAATTCTCTGCATAAACAGCATGGAAAAAAGTCCCAACATTTGAAGTTGATGCAACATGACAGGGGAATATATGGCTGTAAAACCTTTGCATATTTGTTCTGCCATGATTAAATAAAATATATGAACACACACACACACCACATTTTATATAACTACAGCACGAGGTAAAAGTAGAAAATTAGTCCAAGCTTTGGCAGTGTTTCCTGTTGAGTCTGAGGTAAACTACTCTCCATAGCACAAAGGCTATGAGGTAAATGAGGCTATGAGGTAAATGAGGCTAAGATACTATGAGGTAAATGAGACTATGAGAAATGAGGCTATGAGGTAACTGAGGTAAACACAAACAGCAGCCTGGTTAATAGTTCCTCTCATTTTTTCTACTCTTATTTTACACTTTATAATTTATATCTCAGACATGAAAACTGAATAAAAAGAATTAAATATATATTTTTTAAAAAACAAACAAAAAAAACAAACAGCATATTTAATTAGTTTCAGCATGTCGCCTGAGGTACTCACCTTTCCCTCTGAGGTAAACTTTCTTCTCCGGTGTTGTAGAAGATAGTTGAAGAAAAAGTTACTTATTTCCGTATTACCTTTTGTTCTCTAGTTAAAAAAAAAAAAATAGCAACAAAACAACACAACACCACAACACAAGTGTGTTGTGTTTCTCGCTCACTTGGCACAGCAGAAGCGCTGAAGCTGAGGGAGAGAGAGAAAATCTTCTCACAAATCCAAATCCAAATCCAAATCCAAGCGTGGACGAGTTTGGATTTAGAGACTGGGATAAGATTTCCGACCAGGAGTCGCACCGTCAGCTTCCACCTTTCCACTGCTGAGAATTCCACCCGTGCTTTCTTTCCTCCTCCTTTCTTTTTCTTTCTCTCTCTGTTCAGGACGCGGTTTGCTCTCCGCGCGAGGAGGGAGAGAAAAGGAGAAAAAAAAACTTTTACCGCTTCTTTGATCGTAAATCCTCTTCAAAGTATCCAAACTACGGAGCAGATAAAAAAATAGGAGAGAGAAAGAAAGAAAGAAAGAAACCCAAACTCTTTTGCTTTTCCGTGTTCGGAGAGACTGCGAAAGCGAAAAAGTCTCACATTCGCATCCCGGAGTGATTTCTCTCTCTCTCTCTCTGCTTTACTTTCCTCCTGTCCGCGTTCCTCCCCCACCACGGTGTGAAGCTCCAAAAAAAAAAAAAAAAAAAAAAAAAAAAAAAAAAAGAAGGGAAAGAAGGAAGGAAGGAAGGAGGAGATTCCAGAGTCGCGCGTGCGGCTCCGCTACGACACTGGAAGAAGCTGGCGCGCGCGCACGCATACACATACACGTACGCACGCGCGCGCACACAAACGCACGCACAAACGCATAAACATACGCGCGCACACACGCACTCGCTTTTGCACGGCTTTGATTTAAAAAACCCAACCCCCCCCCCTTCATCCAGACCCCTCCCCCCCACCCCACCTCTTGCCACTCGCAGCACCTCAGCGCTTCTCCACCGGCTCGGGAGGTGCATTGTGGGATTGTAGTTTTCTACCTCGCTGCTGTCTCTGTGTGTCAAGTCAAGTGGCTTTACTGTCGTTTCAACTATATACAGCTGGTAGAGTATACAGTGAAACGAAACAATGTTGCTACATGGTGAATGTTGCTACATAGAACCATGGTGCTGCATAAATCTACCCAGAACTACACGAGACTACGCATTACTACATAAAGTGCACGTGCATACGTGTGCAAACAGCACAAGACAGTACAATAGCTACTAAAACAAGACAATAGGCACAGTAAGAGACAGTGCAGCACTGACCAGTACACAGTCCTAGTGTGAAAGTGTCAGGTCTTACAGCTAGTGCAAAAGAATAACATCATAATACATTGCTGTGAATGGAAACATAACATACTATGACATATTCAGCAGATATACCATATATGGACATAGCAGTTATTGGTCTAGTAGTGACAAGAAATGATATACAGTATTTTTATAAAATATAGTAGCAGCAAAAAAAGGAAGGTAGTAAATACAGAAATATGTAAATACAATAAAGTAGCTTTTTGTGACATTTATGTGCTCTGACAGAGCAAACAAAAGAAATGCTTTCGTGGAAGCGGCCATGTTTTTTTTCTCACCTCACACATCGAACATGCCGAGGTGGGAAATGACGTCATTACAGCTCGCAAAAAAAAAAATAATGACAATACAGATACTACAGATACAAATACTAATACAGATACTTTTTTTGTGTTAGTTAGAAAGGTTCACGTGCCATCTGGTTGAGAATAGAGATGTGCATCAGGATTGGGATCCAAAAAAAAGTCACACAAGCGGGAGGTTTTATTTTCATAGCATTTCCCTTAGTAACCGCCTAGTCAGGGTTGCTATGGTTAAAATTATGCTACTAGTTTGTTTATATTTTGGAAATAGAACCAACTAAATTGGTTAGAATACATTGTGCAGTGAAAAATCTCTGAGGAAATCTCAGAGCCAGAATTCACCCTCCATGCTGACAGTGCTGGCTTTTCTACTTCTGGGTTGTTGTTTTTTCCTAGAGTTTTCCACTGTTTCTAGGGGCATAGTCGTGGGTTTCTGTTTAGGCCACATCCACTTTGGGACCTTGGGACCAGCACTGGAAGTGCACTGGCTTGTGCAAGCCCAGTGGCTGGGGTCGGTTCCCTGGCCGGGAATCGAACCCAAGCCACAGCAGCCAGAGCACCGAGAGCCTAACCACAAGTCCTCCAGGGAACACCGGCATGAGTCAGATAATGGATTAAAAAAACAACTACAAAAGCATGAGCATACTGAGTACAGACAAAAATACATACAGGATATACTCTAACAAATTGCACAGAACCCACATGCATAAAACCTAAGAATATAAACAAGCTTAAAGTGCTTAAGCTTAGAGGCTTCTAACCTGCAAGTTTCTCCAATCTTGTTAGACATTTACAGGAAGAGGGGCAAGTCAACAAAGCTGTGTCAGATTTCCAGCAGACGTAGCCCTACTTTTGTTTCAGACACCAATCAGACTTGGCTTGACCCCAAACATGGATGTAGTTTTGCAATCATAGACTGAACCATCAAGAAGCTTTAATCATTTGCTGCTATCCATTTTGGTATGAAAACTCTTACTTGTTTGGAAGATTGCTATTAACTAGCTTATGCAATCATTTTTCATTTTGTCGTTTTAATTACACAGCTAGCCAGCTACGGGTTCTCAGTCCTCCATGTCTGTGAATCTGGATTAATATGGATGACACAGTAAAGGTTGTTTATTCAGACAGGCCTAGCTTTGAAATCACCTAGCTGGAATGCTTTTTTTAAATCCCTGGATTTGTGAATATCTTCAAAGGATGGGAGAGTTCCTCAGCAGCAATTACAACATGCTGTAGTTTGCCCTTGGATCAGATGTTCGCTTTGCCAAAAGTTAAATGGGTGCAGAATACTTGGCAGTAGCGTTCCAAGCTGCATATTGTCATTAGGAAATGGGACTAAGATGACCTTGCCAACATACACAAGTAGGAGGATGTGATATTGTAATTAATAGATATAGACATTTTAAATAAGATGCCATGCCGATGATAGTTACAGTGAAATTGACACTATTTGTTGCCCTGATTTTTTTATCACATGAACAAAACTATTCCATGTGTGTGTGTACACGTGTGTGTGTGAAAATTCTACACGTCTCTAACTCAGTTTGTGTTCACATCATAAAAGTACTAAAAGCTAATAAACCTACTCTCCAAACAGTCCAAACAGCATTTGAACAAATTGCACTTCTTGATCCATGTTAATAATGGATTTAGGAATTTTATATCAAACAAATGGCGTGTTTAATGCTAAAAACACTCTTATAACAAGTCGTTAAACAGCAAGTATGAAGCCCACCCGCAAGACAGATAGAGTCATGGAAAAACACATTGTTTTTCTCAATCAAACATTATTTATTTGTTTTCCACGCTTTACGTGACGTCACGGTTTTCCGGATTGGCACACTCAATCCAATTAAACCTCAGTTGACATCAATTTACCTCCCAGACAACACCGTAAAACCAGAAAGAAGCAAGCTGCCATCATATGAGCTGTGTAACAGTTTACTCACACCTTAAAAAAGCCTAAGGGCTTGTGTTCTCAGAAACAGAAACGCAAGGATTTCCAGTCAAGCCACTCAATTATTTAAACCTTATTGTTCCCTAGAGGTGTAAACAATTGCGACTTTTTGATTTTTAAAGCAGCTCAAACCATATTGTGATAACACAAGCCAACAGGAACCCCCCTTAACACGTGACCAGATGCTTGACAGGCCCAAAAGGTGCATTTTCTAAGAAGAGGAAGTGGTTCCTGCAGCTTATTATGTCGAATGGCAGAGCCTAGGAATAAATCTAACTAATTGTCCATTAGCCAGAGTTTTATTCTTTAGAGGAGCAGGCAGGCAGTCCAGAAAGGGTCCCATTGACCCACTAAAGGGGGCTTATCGCCAAATACAGGAGTGAATAGAAGTGGCAATGAGGTGTGAACCAGCCTTACGGAGACTAATGAGGGACAGGCTGGAAAACAGGAGAGATGGATGAGGTTAGAGAAATGGAAAACTGGGGTTTAGGTTGTTTAGAAGCTAAATTCAGCTCCAGTTAAACTTGGCTGCGATGTGTAAAACAACGCTTTTGTTTAATTTGGCAAGAGTACACCTCAGTGAAGCCTGATTTGGTCATGTCTTTGGATCAAAGTGAATCGTCTGGGTTATGCTGTCATTTCTAATTCTGTCATGCTGAAGATCACACGAAAGTATTCTGAATCTGAACAGTCTCATCTGGTCAACACATTAGCCTGTGATTCATGTTATCCATGAAGCCATTGTGAATTTCTGGAGTTTGGCTCTTTGATGCTGAACTTCACACAGTACTGCTTCATCTTTGATTGTGTGTATGGAGCAGCAAGCATTACACATCATGCTGACTGTCACACAACGATGATTGACGAGCTCTCGTTTAAATGTTGCTTTGGCTCCATGTCATTCCCAGCTTTTGAAAACTGTTTCAATAAGCTGTAATTTGTTTTGGACTATGTTATGTTCAAATACCTGTTTCTCAGAAAACATAGGACAGGTCAAGCTGAAATTTGGTGAACTGCATCGTTCTGCTATTCTATAAGTGGATTTCCAGTTATGATTGGGTTACTAATAATCATGGCCACCATCAGCCAATCGGCTTTCAGCAGGGCTGGCACTCCACAAGGTTAGCTTTAAGCTACAGTCACGAAACTTGAACAGTATGTTCATCTATAGACTCAGAAATAGATATTGTATTGGCAAGTATTGGCAAGAACTGGCCACTGGGCAAGCTATTTGCAATGGGTGCTTGGACCCCACAGATTACCACTTAGGGTTATATTTATTCTTATTAGTGGTTAGTTTTAAAAAGCTCAATTACAAGCAAAAGTGCTGTAGTGAAAAGACAGTGCTTATTTTGCCAAGTGGTTAGGAATATTTTAACTCTTCCTGCTAGAGGAGACCATTTGTTTCCCATCCCTTGCTGAACATGCCTAAAACACACTGAATTGCCATTAGCTAATGGAATTATATACGAAAGGTGCCTGGACCCCACAGATTACAGCTTGCGGCTGTATTTTATACTATGTTACAAGGTTTTGAGTCAATGTGGTGCAATTTAATGCCTGTTACATGAAATATGAGTCAGAATACATAAGTCTGAAATCTTTGCTGATTTGTTTTATGTACTGCAAAGGGACAGAAGGCAAAACCATTTGCTGCATCTCACCATGTAAAGGAACATCTGATTATTTACGTTCCGGTTTCATGTCTGCAGTTGCAAGTTGTTTTGGTGTTCCAGCCCAGGTTCTAAGATAAAGACCGTGTTAGACACCCATGGGAGAAGTTAATTTGTTACACAACACTTCACAGATCGATCGAGTGTATTGATCTCCACATGATCAGTGTAAAAACAAAAGCTTGTCTTAACTGACTTTCGGGCTTCGGCTCTGTTGTAATTATACCACTAAGGAGCTTTCCGAGGTTAAACCAATTAAAGTCACATTATGTTTACTTCAATTTGATTCAATTTTATTTGTATACATTTTAACAGTAGACGTTGTCACAAAGCAGCTTTAAGAAATCTGGATGTAGATTTAGATCCCTAAAGAGCAAGAGCAAGAGATTCAAAAGGGTACCCATCCTCTTGTGTGTGACACCAGAGAGTTGGATTGTAAATTATTAGAGTATACAAGTGTAAAAGAGTAAAGACACACAGTACTAGGTGTGCTGAAAGGAAGTCCAACGGAAGCACTAATATTTGAGAAGTAGGAATCATTTCCACCTATCTCCTGTGCTGTGAATCACAGTCCTAATGATCTAATGACATTGCCATATAGCAACTGTAACACCATGAATCAGATTCTGCTTTGTCATCCGTTGTCACACTTTTGTAGTTATGTGATTCACCAGTAGGAAATGACTAGCTCGTATTATAAACCCTGGAGGCAACACTCAGTCCACTGATACAGTCAAACTCTGTATCTCCAAATGGACTTCAAAAACTTGCAATCACGAGACATTCACATGACTATAATTTGTCCTATAATGTGTGTAATAGGAGGGGGGTGGGTTATGTGTGGAATCTGAGAATGTGTGTTTGAGTATAACTTTAATCATTTTCAGAGAAGATCCAAAGCCAGACGTTTGCCCCTCACTGTGAGTCATTCCTTTAGCTTTGGTCTTTGGTCAAACAGGATATTCTTTTGGGATGAGTAAATTGCTACGCTGGTCCTGACTTAGTGACTTGCGGATAGAAAGTGAATGAAGACATAGACACTGTGAGAGTGTTAAGCCAGATGTTTAGCCAAGACAAAACAAGCCATGCAGTGCACTGGGCTATAGTAAATAATCTCAGACTAATTACACTCGACCAGCACATGCGGGAGAATGGGGGTAGGTAATACAATGCTCACACCAGGTGTGTGTGTATGGACGAATGACTAGGACCATGGGGGTGCCATGTCAACAATAATGAGAGTGTTCAGGGTGGCACAATGAAGCGATGGGGAATGTTCTGGAAGGAAACAAAGACATGAGCACAAGGAGGTCTTTACAAGCTGCTGTGGAGGGGGCTGTTAATGAGAGTTATATCCCAGAACTGTTGAATTCTTAAATCTGATTGGTTAAAATGTGTTGATTAATTTTCTCTAACAGCAACTCTGATAGTAGTTCCGGTTTTAGTTCAGTGCACAGATTTATGTTAATAGGCTCATTTTAATGTTAGCGTTCCACATAATCTAAGGCTACAAAAAACATTTAGTGAGCAGCTGTTCTGCAGGTGGAAACGTCTTGCTGATGAGAGAGGTCAGAGGAGAATGACCAGACTGGTTCAAGCTGACAGGAAGGCTATGGTAATTCAAATAACTACTCTTTACAACCATGGTGAGCAGAAAAGCATATCAGAATGCACAACACGTCAGAGGCGAATAGGCTACAACAGCAGAAGTCCACATCAGGGTCCACTCCTGTCAACCAAGAACAGAATGGGTTACAATGGGCACAGATTCCAAACCAAACTTCAACTTATTCTGATCACAGGCTCAAAAAACAGAATATTTTGTGCTATTGAATGAGTATATAAACTTTTCTTATCTGACTAATGACTATCTACTCCCACTGACCTACGTACAAATCCTAGGAGCTTAGTGCTTATGGTACACACTATGATGTCCTCACAACACACAATGCAACAGAT